TGGGAGTGGGTAATTTGCGCGCCTGCTGCCTTCCTTGGATGTGGTAGCCGTTTCTCAGGCTCCCTCTCCGGAATCGAACCCTGATTCCCCGTTACCCGTTACAACCATGGTAGGCGCATAACCTACCATCGACAGTTGATAAGGCAGACATTTGAAAGATGCGTCGCCGGTGCGAGACCGTGCGATCAGCATAAAGTTATTCAGAGTCACCAAGTTTTGTACGATACTACGGCAACGCGAACGCCACCGCAGCACCGACTGGTTTTGATCTAATAAAAGCACTCCTACCGTCCCCGGTAGGAGCTCTGTTTGCATGTATTAGCTCTAGAATTACCACAGTTATCCAAGTAATGTGAGTACGATCTAGTGAACCATAACTGATTTAATGAGCCTTTCGCGGTTTCACCTTAATTTGGCTTGTACTGAGACATGCATGGCTTAAGCTTTGAGACAAGCATATGACTACTGGCAGGATCAACCAGGGTGCTAAACATAATAATGTAAAGCTTCGTTGCTTATGCAACAACATGTGTTCGAAGTACGTAGTACAATACGAGCCACACGATTCAAGCGTTTATGGTATCTTATTTGTACGGAACATATCTGTTGGTCTGGCTGTTTTGACTAAATACAGAGGCTATTATTCAGAGACGCATGTATTTGCAATCGCAACAGAGCGTCGACCGGCTTAATTCTTAACGCGCTCGATGAGCGAAAAGTACTAGTCGGCGTTCAAAGTTGGATGGTTGTTTCGAACCGCAATAATGCAGAGGCTTTTTGAGACGCATGCAATGCAGTACTACTACACCGTCCGGCTGTTTCCTTAACGCGCTCGATGAGCGAAAAGTACTAGTCAGCGTTCAATGTTGGTAGGAAGACTGAACCGCAATACAGAGGCTTTCAGAGAGACGCGTGTATCGCAGAACAACACCAACCGGCAGGCAGATATTTTATGTTCGTTAAAATGCTTTTAAAGCAAAATTCAAGAGTTTCGTCATTCTCTTTCACAATTCGATAGATCGAATGCGTCTTGGTAGTATCCATCTTACGATAGTACATTACGTCTGACATTCTCAGCAAAGAGATAAATTCTCGCTCGGAATGCAGTGAGTTATTGCATAGATTACTAGAGGCTTGTCGGTTTGCACCTTACACCCCTTGAGTTTTTATGGTTGGTCGCATAAGGGAGGTTTCGTAAAACGAATACTGATCCCGCGACCGTGCTGTGACAAATGATGAAAGCGTCCGAAGCATACGATCGTACTTTAATTGTATTAAATTTACTTTCGGTTTGTTGTCCGACATTTGATGATGAAAAACCATCGTGCATCGGCAAAACATTGACATGTTTTATATAATTTGTTAACGTGCGCTTGGTTTGGTCCATTTTGGTTGGATTTTAGTTTCGAAGCGCTTAGTCCGCCATATTTTAACTTAGTCAAAGTCGCACATGTAAAATGTTCGATTCGAAAAAGTGGCGGCGTTTTGTTAGATAATATGTGTACACGCGTCTTTTCAAACAAGAGATTTTCAGATCGTAACAAAACTTTCTTACTAATCCCGCGATATGTCCGAGAAGACTTTTGAAGCGTCCGCTTAATTTGTCAAAATCTGCTGTGAGACAGTGAAAATTGGCGGCGTTCTGTTAGAGAATACGTGTACGTGTGCTTTTGAACAAGAGACTTTTGGATCGTAACGAAACTCTCCTAATAATCACGTAATTTGTTCGAGAAGACTTTGGAGCGGCTGCTTAATTTGTCAAGATCTGCTGTGAGAAAATGAAAAATGGCAGCGTTATGGTAGAGAATATGTGTACGTGCGTCCTTTCAAACAAGAGATCTTCAGATTGTAACGAAACTTTCTTACTAATCCCGTGATTTGTTCGAGAAGACTTTTGGAGCGTCCGCTTAATTTGTCAAAATCTGCTNCGAGAAGACTTTTGGAGCGTCCGCTTAATTTGTCAAAATCTGCTGTGAGACAGTGAAAATTGGCGGCGTTCTGTTACAGAATACGTACGTGTGCCTTTCAAACAAGAGACTTTTGGATCGTAACGAAACTCTCCTACTAATCCCGTGATATATGTTTGAGAAAACTTTGGGGCGGCTGCTTAATTTGTCAAGATCTGCTGTGAGAAAATGAAAAATGGCAGCGTTCTGTTAGAGAAAACGTGTACGTGTGCCTTTCAAACAAGAGACTTTTGGATCGTAACGAAACTCTCCTACTAATCCCGTGATTTGTTCGAGAAGACTTTTGGAGCGTCCGCTTAATTTGTCAAAATCTGCTTTGAGACAGTGAAAATTGGCGGCGTTCTGTTAAATACGTACGTGTGCCTTTCAAANAAAATTGGCGGCGTTCTGTTAAATACGTACGTGTGCCTTTCAAACAAGAGACTTTTGGATCGTAACGAAACTCTCCTACTAATCTCGTAATTTGTTCGAGAACACTGACTATTTTGAGCGATCGCTTAATTCGTCAAGATCTGCTATGAGAAAATGAAAAATTGGCGGCGTTCTGGTAGGTATAGTCATATTAGTTGTTAACATAAAACGCTCATCGGCCGCACAGCATACGTGACAAAAGTTCATAGCATACTATTTGGCGTGTCGGTCCGATTACGTCGTGAAAGTAAAATTTTTGTCGATACGTTCAAAAAAATTATTTTGTGTATCATAAGTGTATATCCATTTATATTCCATTCATTTCGTTTTGTAAGGCATTTAGTTCAAAGTTACGATAATACACATCATTCACTTCCACCTCGGGTACCAGCCTCTCGACCAGTACCCCCTAATAGGTAAAAGTGCATATATACGCCAATCGTGCGCCTTGATGCAACCGTATGGGCGCGCTCGGCGTGGCGCGTTCAGGGATGTCGGCTCGGCCCCAATCGGATGTTTTGCACAAGTCTCTAGTTGTTTGCAAAAATCGGTCAAAACGTCCGCGGGACTTAGAAAAATTTTTCACATTTGGACGTCCGAACTTTTCGACCAAAAATCGAAATTTTTGTTTTGCACACGTCCTAGTTGTTTGCAACGAAAATCGGACGAAACGTCCGCGGGACTTAGAAAAAATTTTTATGTTTTGCACACGTCCTAGTTGTTTGCAACGAAAATCGGACAAAACGTCCGCGGGACTTAGAAAAAATTTTTATGTTTTGCACACGTCCTAGTTGTTTGCAACGAAAATCGGAC